TGTGTGTGTGTGTGTGTGTGTGTGTGTGTGTGTGTGTGAGAGAGAGAGAGAGAGAGAGAGAGAGAGAGAGAGAGAGAGAGAGAGAGAGAGATGAAGTGGCCGCCATGCGAGTAGCCATAGAGGTGTGCTGAAACATGCACCCTACCGGTAGGGGCATATGGAAAATTTCCGTGAGTACTCAACGGCTATCTGGTAGGGGCATACTGCAAAATTGGAACGGATAACAAAAATATTTCAGACCCAGCCGACGCTGGGGTTTTATGGTCAATTTGAATCGTGGTCAGAGGGGCACAACAGGGTAAGTGGGTCGTTGGAGGGGCGCGGCACAAAATAATGGAAATTACAGGGGCGCCAGACAAATTTTCCTTTTTTTTTTTTTTTTTTTTTTTTTTTAAAGAATATCTTTATTGGACTGACCCCCCCCGAGAAATGCATTAATTTTCTCGTTTTGTTGTTTTTTTTTTTTTTTTTTTTTTTTTCCGTTCTGCTCATCTGATTACATCTGGGTTTGAATTTGGGCCTCTGTATTGTAGCAGTTCATGGGTGTACCAACTGAGCTAGGCCCGTTGGTAAATTCTCTCCGTTCTGAGGCAGATGGCGCACACCCCTTTTTTTTTTTTTTTTTTTTCTCCTTTTGCAGGGCCATGCATCCGACCATTTCTGTGAGCTAAGTACGTTCTTCTTTTTTTGTTTAATAGCTTTGTCTTGTTCAGCTTGGATACTATTTGTATAGGAAGAGAGTGCCCTCTCCACCTAAGATTGCAAATATCTCTCTGTTCTGAGGCAGGTGGCGCACACCCCAGACCGTTGATCCTTGGGCGACCTGCAGCACACCACCACCGCCCAATCCACATATCAGTTGTATTTTCCTTGTCTTTTTTTTTAAACTTTTTTTGGGTTTGAAAATCCAATTACGCTCAGAAAATTTTCCGATGTCCTCATAAGTCGTTGTCCGCTGTACCACACTCTACCACAGTGCAATAGAGAGGCAACGCCGGAGGGGTCGAGTAAGCAAAGCTACCCGTACGACCCCTCTGTGACCTGAAAAACTGAATTTAAACCACCAGTACCTTTTCCCGCTTGAAAAACAAAGTCCCGACTCGTTAGCGGCCCCATTTTTTGGGGCCTCGGGTACCGGACCAAACTTGCCAGCTAGCCACAAGCAGGCCCATGTTGCTTGGTTGTTTTTGGCGCGCAGGGCAAATTTAGGCTTGGCATCGATAGCTCAGCGGAGCACTGGTGGTTTCTTGTCGTTGTGCCCTGGTAGACCACGGATCAGATATTAAACTGATCAGAACAGATACAGTGCACCTGATCTATTTTTAGCTAAATGGCCGACTCGGAGAAAGGTATAATTGTTGTCAGCTGTTTAAATAATAATAATAATAATAATAATAATAATAAAAATAAAATAATAATAATAATAATAATAAATAAAAAGCCTTGTGGTGGCTGAATGTAACACACATGCCCCTGTTGATAAACAGATAACTCGAAAATAAATTATCAAATTAACAAATAAATAAAGTTTAATTAACAAATAAATTAACAAATATTAAATTAACAAATATTAAATTAACAAATAAATTAACAAATAAATTAACAAATATTAAATTAACAAATAAATTAACAAATAAATTAACAAATATTAAATTAACAAATATTAAATTAACAAATAAATTAACAAATATTAAATTAACAAATAAATTAAAAAATAAATTAACAAATATTAAATTAACAAATAAATTAACAAATAGACACATAATAGGATTGGGAATGGGTTGAAAATGTGTGGGAGTAGAACCACCCACATCTACCATGCCTAAACCCTAAACCCTACGTGATCACACAGCTTTTTTTCACATATTAACTGACCACCCCMCCCCCCCCCCAAAAATTTTTTTTTTTTTACTGACAACGCCCAATATTGTAGGAGACCCTTTGAGGCTGGTGTGGGTAGGGTACGCAATAGGAGGGTGAGGGGAGGTGAGCACTGAGCTGACAACAGGTAGCATCTGATTGGTCTGAGGGCATACTCACGCGACGACTCTTTCTATTTTTTTTTTTTTTGTGGACCTAATTGCGGCCAGGTGCATAGCTTCTTATAGGTAGTTTAGTGTGACCTATCAACCCCCCGTATTCTGAGGGTTTTAGGGGTTTAGGCCCTTTAGGCCCTTTAGGCCCTTTTGCCAGGTTTGGGTGCAGTGAGTATATATACCCCTCAGGCCAGATGACTGGAGGGATTAGAAGGGAAAAAGCAGTAGGCTGACAACAAGCAGCTTTAACTAGAAAACCACGTAGATGCAGATGGAAAATTTCCCCATCTTTTCTCTCTTTTTTCATATGAATTTTGAATTTGCCTCTCATCAAATCTTCAGCCAAGCAACTGCAGCTAAACAATCTGCACAAATTCAACCAGCCAGGTGTACATATGCACAGTCCGGTTCAAGCTTGAACCTGACTCTGACTCAGTCCTTTATGTTTCCATGCCTATGCATCCATCCATCCATCCATCCACCCGGGGCCTTAAATTCCCCTAAACACTTCTCTTCTCTCTGCAGCCCAAGGGATCTTTCTTGACATCAGCCTGAAGTTGAGTCAGTCCTTTGTATTTCCATGTCACTTCCATCCATCCATCCATCCATCCATTGATGCGATGCGAAGTCAGCGGTCGTAATGTGTACACACCCCTGTCTATTGCTTCTTCTTCTTTTTTTTTTCCCTTTTTTTTTTTTTTTTTTTTTTTTTCGATCGCTTCTCCTACGGGTTCTACTGCCAGAAATTTGTTCGTTGCCAACTCCGAAAAATTTCGTGGCTGGGGTCTACTGGACCACAGTGGCGGGCCCCCCCCCTCCGGGCGAAAAAGAAAAGAGAAGTGGGCTGCTGACGGTGAGGAAAAGCTTGGCGCACACTGCAGTACCTTCAGCCCCGGGTGTACTGGTGGTTTACCTGGAGGCCCATTAATCCTATCAACACCCCTATTTAATCCACCACCCATGTATCTAATCCACTCCACCCCATCTCCACTCTACCTACCCTTCTAATCAACCCACCCTTCTAATCAAGCGACCCTTCTAATCCACCTACCCATGCAACTGTAAGCTGTACACAACCTTTCGGGTTATATCCTATAAATGCCCCTGTTGATCATTTCATTTGCGACCCCGCAACATCAGCGACAGTCATGACAGGACAAAAAAAAAGAAAAAGAAAAAAAAAAAAAAAGAAAAGAAAAAGATGGGTTAGTTCCACTTAGATGTGGGTTTGCTCTCAATGCCTGTCTGCTTCCCTCTAATTTGCAGAAAGACTTTGATTACAGAGTGCCTCTTGTTCCGACAGAGTGCCTCTAATACGCCCAGGGTGTTGTAGAGGCCAAGGAGTAGACATAACCATGGTGATCGCTGGCAGCGGCAGCCGATGGTTGTCCTGACAGGATAGGCCACCTTCCGTACCTTTCCCCATGTTTATTAACTCCCAGCGCAACCCCTAGATCCCTACTATCCTACCTCAGTGTGACCAGCACTCAGGATCATCACCCTACCAGTACCGAGGGCAACTTGGACCACACAGCAGTGCCAAGCACCAAGGCTGGGCAACCCCCCAGCCACAGAACTAAAGGGGGCGTACTCTAATGAAGAAGGGTGATTCCCTTCTGGACCCGATTACCACCCAGTCAGTTCAAACCGCTAGCACATGGCCCCCTCCTTGCAGAAAGTTTTTGTCGCCACAAGCAAAACTCGAAGGGGCCGCGCGGCCAGGCCCGCCGTTGAAAAAAAAATCGGCGGCCTCCAAAGTGGTGCGTGTTTCATGCTGACACCCGCGGACCGATACGTGATGTACTGGTGCTTTAACGAAGAAGGGTCATTCCCTTGTGGATCCCGTTAGCGCCCAGAATAGTTAAGACCGATAAAGGGTCTAGTCAGTCTAATGAAGAAGGGTGATTCCCTTTCTGGACCGGGTTAGCACCCAGAATAGGTAAGAAAGACGGAGACAGTCTGAGACACTCTGAGCTCAGGAGAGATTATCGAAGGGAGGTTTCTCTCATACTAAACTTGGAAATCCCAAGAAGTCAAACACCTTCTTCTCACACTCCTACATGGAACGCACGCTGACAGCACTCTGCGCCACTCTGCGCCGCCACTCTGTGCACCTCGACAGAGACACACTATGAGCTACGGCGACTTCAGTGAAGGGAGGTTCCTCTCATGCGGTTCTAACCATGGGAATCCCAAGAAGTCAAACACCTCCTTCTCACTCCTACATGGAACACTGACAGGACTCTGCGCAACTCTGTGGCCCTGCACCCTGGCCGCGGTGAACAAGCCATGATCGTCCAACCTATAGCCCTTCTTTTCTGCGAGCAACCGAAGTTGACGATTAAGCGTCTCGTTCCCCGTCCAGGCAATCAACCCAAAGGGGTATTGGTCAAAGGGGTAGATTTTGAAGTCGATGCGATGTCTCCTCTCCCGTCCAGGGTACTTGCAGAGGCCGAAGAAGGTGTCGACCCCATGATCGGACCCCTCCTCGCTATGCTCGCCGTGCAACAGTTCTTCGGTCACAAAGTCTATCTCTTTGAGTCGCTCCAGCAACTTAGGTAGTAACCCCCTGTGGCCCTCCCCATCCGGGTGCGTGACTACCATATCCATGTCGCCGATCGTGGCCTTTCCTCGACGATAGGAGCCGCCGCAGAGAACAGAGATACCGGGCCGCAGAGCCTGCGCCTCCCGCCGCACTATCCCTTCCATCACACGTGCCTCTTTCCTAGGGATCCTCTTTTGAATGTCCTCATGAAACTTGAGGCCCACCCTCTGGGCAGAGGTAAGGGAGGGGTCTTTCTCTAGGTCTGCTAAGGACCTGTAGCCCTTTTCGTAAAGTTTCTTGGCCGTTGCTGGGCCCACACCCCACACTGATCCGAGCAAGGCCAGGGTTCGCACTCTTTCATCCTTCATAAAATTCTCTAACTTCCCAATTTGCCCTGTGGCCAGGATCTCCTTGATATGACTCTTGAGGCTGGGACCTATGGACGGAAGGTCCTTGACTTGCTCCACGGAGGTTATCTTGACCGGCAGCTTCTCCAGGACGTGAATGACTTTGTAATAGGTGAAGTACCTATAGTCATCGCCGAGGGCATCGTGATAGATGTCGCGCAACTTGGCAAAGGGTTGTGTAATATGCCGGTTCAAATCAGGGGGATTATACAGAGGCGGAGCGTAGACCTCCTCAAGGGGAGGAGGCGGTCGCATACGTGGCACGTCGTCCTTTCTGAGTGGTGGGAGGACCACGTCATCGTCAACGTGGGCCCCCTTTCTCTGTCCATCTCCTGATACCAAAGATCTTGATCTTTTTCCTCCTCCCTCCTCGCGACTCCGTTCCTCCTCCTCTTCCTCCTCTACATTCTCTTTCTTCGACATCAACCTACTTTCCTTGCCAGAACTCAAGGAGAGGAATCTTCCTTCTCCTTTTTTCTCCTCTCTTCTCGTTCTTCTCCTCCTCTCCTCCTCTCTCCCTTCTTCCCTCAGCTCTCCTCCTTCCTTGCTATCTGTCAGTGACTCTCGCTTGCGCGTCGATTCTACCTCCTCCTCCCTGCTGCCACCATCGTTTCCACTCCTCCCTCTTTGCAGCTCCCCTGAGACCTCCTCTCCGTCGTCCACGTGTCCCTCTTCGCCTCCCTTCTCGACTCCACTTTCCCCTCCTCCCCCCATCATAGTTCCTCTGCTTCGAGCTGGCGATGGCGTCGCTCGACCCACCTCCTCCCCTCGGGGCTTCTCCACGCCAATCCCTGATGCGAACCCAGGAGAGGGACCGGTGTGCGGACGGATGGTCGGCAACCTGAGTCGCGATCGCGATGACGCAAGAACATCCGCATCCACGACTGGACTTCTTCGTCGTTTGTCCCTCCCTTCTAGATCAGTAGTGTTGACGTCCCAGTAATTCACGCCAGAGGAGGGCGAGCTCTGGCGATGGCCGACTGCAGGAGAAAGGCTCCCTGAGCTTCGATCTTTCTTGCTCTCGTCATCGACGCCATCATCACCATGGCGACGGTGTTCATCAGAGAAACAGGGAGAAGAAGGAATGGATGGAGGAGAAGGTGGACGATATGTAGGAGAAGAAGGAAGGTATGTCGGTGAAGATGAAGGAGGAGAAGAAGCATGGTATGGCGGTGAAAATGAAGGAGGAGAAGAAGGAAGGTATGTCGGTGAAGATGGAGGACGAGAAACGGAACGACCAGGTGGTTGTCTAGGACGACGGGAAGGAGGGGAGGAGCCAGTGGCTGTTGTCGGCTTTGTGGACTTGCCTCCACTTTGGCTGTTTCCCTTGCAGTCGAGGAGAAGATAAGCGTCCGTTTTCAGTCGGACGCCGGTCTTCAAGCAGTCCTCTATCCAGTCATACTTCACGGCTATGGCGGACGTGAGAAGCTCGCTGACCTTGTCCTCTACGAGGGACTTGCTCATCTTCGTCCCCAATTTCTTTGCCACGTGATCAGAGATACAACTACTGTCGGCGGCCAGTACGTGAGTGACACGTGGCAGATTGTCGATCAGCGGCTCGCTCACCACGTGTCCTCCGAATTGCCGCATCTTCTGACTCCATATCTGAATCCGCTTTGCATGGACGCCTCCACCTTCGACGAACAAGCCGTGAACACCACGGAACATAGACGTCTTCTCCTCTTTCCCGCTTTCGCCCGCCGCCATAGCCAGCACAACTGAGCTTGCTCGATCGACATCAACAGCAGCAGGGATTCGACGACCAGCTCTTCGGTGATCGGAGACATGGTGGGCTGACTCACCACCACCTGGCCTTCCTCCCGCCCTCGAACCGCTAACGTGGCCATGCACAGGAGAAAGCTGGCGTCGGCCATCATCCTTCGTCGAGCTCACCCCTCCGTCACTCGCGTGCGCCAGTCGTTCCCGACGTCGTTTGCGACCCAGATCGGGATCTGAATTTTGGTGTCGATTCCGATACCGATCCGTATCCCGGTCAACACTGCTGCCGCCTGCGCTTTTCGAAACTTCTCCTCCTCCTCCTCCTCCTCCTCCTCCTCCTCCTCCTACTTCATGTCCCGCACCCGCAGCTCCTTCACTCCTCGATCTAGCCGTCTGCATGCCTTCATTCGGCCATTCCATCTTCCTTCACCATAGCCGGCCTTCATTCGCCCATTCCATCGTACAGGAAAGATGACAATCCTCAAACAGACAGATGTTAGCCGTCCTTCGCCATATCCGGCCTTCACCGTAGCCGTCTTTCACTATATCCGGCCTTCACCGTAGCCGTCCCTTACCATAGCCGGCCTTCACCGTAGCCGTCCTTCATCTTCGCCGGCCTTCACCGTAGCCGTCCTTCACCATAGCCGGTCTTCACCGTAGCCGTCCTTCACCATAGCCGGTCTTCACCGTAGCCGGCCTTCACCATAGCCACCATAGCCAGCCTCCGCCATAGCCACCATAGCCGGCCTTCACCATCGCCCATCCCATCGTACGGCAAGAGGCGACAACCCTCAAACGGCAAGGCAGAGGAATAGAACAAGAAAAGAGCGGAACAACACGTGGAGATCGTGATCCCTCCAACGAGGAAACACGTTTTGCTGAAACCACCACCGGCAAGAGAGCCCGGTGGCCAAGTCCCACACTCACCCGAGTTTTCGATTTGCGACCGTACAGTATCAAGATCAGCGATCAGAAATGGAGGATCGGGCCCAACTGGGACCTGACCCCAGGTTGGTCAAAGAGGCGGGCCATGCACTTTTTTTTTTTTTTTTTTTTTTTAAATAAGCAAACAGCGCATGCACTTTTTCCGGTGTCCATTACCTTTACCTCTGGGATCTGACTATCCGTGATCTGTTATCTACCCTCTTTTTTTTCAGGGAAATTTTTCGTTTTGCCCCTCAAAGAAACATTTATTTGGGTTGTACCCTCCAAAAGAACATTGCCATGCCCATTTATCTCACTGGCATGCCCCTCTGACCGCAATACACACTTTTGCAATATCTCCAACGTGGCATGTACCTGACCTCTTTTCAGCCATGCCCCTACCGTTCCCAGTTCATCGTTTTCACATGCCCAAGTGCATAGGGGTATCTGGAGCTTGGACTGAAACTCCAGATTTGGTGGCACTGGGACGGGCAAGCCACAAGCAGGGGCCGCCCTCCGGCAGATTCTAGGTCCCACCAAACGGAAAAAAAAAAAAAAAGAAAGTTCAAGAAACAGGATTCCAGGGGGCCATCATTGAAGCATTCACAAAAATCCCACAGGTCATTCTAGTGAGACTTGGACCATTCTAGTGAGACTTGGACCATTCTAGTGAGACTTGGACCAAACCATCAAACATAGTTCAACTGCAAGAAGAAAAACCATTCATTCAAGTGGACAGTCCATGCATTCCCATGGCCAAGACAAAATTGGATGGAAAAGGAGAGGAAGGGAGTGAGAATAGAGTGATTTAGGAGATGGAGAAGAAGCAAGCTCGGAGGAAGACGAATCAGAAAAATTGCCGAATTCGAACTCAGAAAAATCCCAAGTACAACCCAATCACCAACAACCAGGCTCTCTCTCTCTCTCTCTCTCTCTCTCTCTCTCTCTCTCTCTCTCTCTCTCTCTCTCTCTCTCTCTCNTCTCTCTCTCTCTCTCTCTCTCTCTCTCTCTCTCTCTCTCTCTCTCTGTGTCTCTCTCTCTGTCTCTCTCTCTCTATGCCCCCAACCCGCCCCCGGTCGCCTTGACCCACCAACTACGCAGAGTCGTCACCCCGCTTATTCCCCGCTTAGTTCTATTATGCAAGCCAGGTTCGCCCGTACTCTGCAGTCCGCCACCGCGCCCACACATCAACCCTGCACAATTGCCACCAGCCTGTTGGATCGCCCAACTCTGCAACTCACCTCTATGAAACCACCACTCGTTACCCGATCCTCTCGACCGCGCTAACTCCAAAAGTTTAGATTAGAGAGACTTAAAGTCACACTTAGTAAATTTATCGCAGAAGTGCATAGGCGAGATAACCAGGATTAGATAGGAGAGAAAGGAAGTGCCTACAATCTGCATACCTAGACTGTGGCGTGGGAAACGTAGCCCACTCCAGGCTTTAATCCCGGTTGCATTGCCTCGGCCAATGAGAAGGGAGAGGATCAGGGAGATGTATGAGTGCCAAAAAGAGATGAGAGGAAGAAGATACAGTTACACACGAGGGATGAAGAAAAGACGAAAGATTGATTGACAGTTAAGGACAAAATTAAGGCGCACCGGAGGAAAAGAGCGTGTAGAAAAGTGCATGCGTGAGCAAGAAGCAGTGTTCAGTTATGCCCGCACCCAAGCTAATTACAGTCCTAATTCGAAAAGAAAATTCCGATTACATTCGCGGATGGCCGCGCAGCCTACAAGAATTCGAAATTCAGTCATTCGCCCGTGCGACGGTTGTGCCAAATGTTCCCACCCACCATGCACAGACTTCCATCAAAAAGAAAAAAAAGGACACGTCATAATTTTTATTATTATTTTTTTTTATTTTAAGGCCAGGGTGTTGTAGAGGTCGGTTTCTGGACCCCCCACGACAGGTACCTATCAGGACACGTCATCATTTTTTATTCATGCACGCTAAGGCACATCCTAACTGCCGAAACGAAAGAGAAAATTGACCACAAGTTGCGAACAACATGCCCCTTTTTACGCCGCAACTTGGGGGTGAGCATGCAATTTACAAAAAGAAATTATTCTGAAAAAGTAAAGGGGCAGTCGGAATGATCAGCCCCGTAAGCATACACAGGCTTCTTTCGAGCCCACCATCGACTGCACAGAAAATTGTGCACATGCAGAAATTAGATCGTCACAGCAGGAGCAGATGTGAGGGGAGGATGGTGGAGATCTGTTCCTCGGGGGTTGCATTGGTACATCTGCTGCTGCTGTAGGCTCCAATGCAGCCCCGTTGGCCTGTGGAATGTCTGTAGGTCTGTAGCCTGCACAGCGTACCAACTCCATACCAAGATCACATGCAGACTCTCCATTTGCTGCTGTTGCAGATTACACCTGTCAATCCGTCAGCAGCCCAAATGGGCTGTAGACGTACAGGCCATTGAGTCATGTGTTTATGATCAGGCTCTATGCGCGGAAGACAGGCTCGACCCCCCCCCCCCCCCCCCCCCCCCCCCCCCCCCCCCCCCCCCCCCCCCCCCCCCCCCTCCTGTAGAACTGCTACAGTGGCCGCCTTGAGACGTGCGCAGTAGCCGCTACCACCCCTCATACTTACTCTTGTCTGCGACCTGAATGGCCTATGTAAACTTACGTGCCATGGAGTCGTGGGGTCCGTCATGTGCACCTGCGATAAGGCTCTCTGCCCGGAAGGCAGGCTTTTTTTTTTTTCCAGTAGAACTACTACCTTCTTCCCCCGAATACAACGCACAGTCATTATAGCTGTATTTGGGGCATGTGAATTTGATGCATGTGAATTTGATGCATGTGAATTTGATGCATGTGATTCTTCTAAGATTTGCTATGTTCCAACCTACCCTTTATTTTGGGGTTTTGTTTTGCAATGAACTGGGCTCTTTTTACTCAGGAGGGTGATGCGAGCATCTCCTCCAAGTAGGTGCCCTAGTTGCTCCTTTCTATTGGTGGGGAGCTGCACCTGCTGGAAAATGGGTTCAACGTCCCTTACGCAAAGTCCACAAGACATGAGACTGAACAAGTCATCGATGCCCTCCCGTGCTGGGGTGTGGATCTGCGGGGAACAACTTTGCTGCTGATGCTGCAGACGGCAGCAGGGTTTGGTTGAAGCATCATGATAAGCTATGGCTGGAGGGGAGGGGGTGGGGGATGCCTCTTCCGCCCGCTGTGGGCCGCCTGATCTACCTTTCTTATTCTACCATTTCCCACACCTCGTGTTGTCCAAGCTGCTCGCTACTCCCGTGCCTTGATTGTTGGGTGTAGGTCACTAATACCCTCCCCAACCTTGCCTTAAGCCCTCCCAAACCCTAACCCTGTACCCTCAATCGCGCCCGGGCCTTGTTTGGTGGGCGTAGGTTGCTAATGCCATCCCCCGCCCTGCCTTAAACCACCAGGACATGGGCACCTGCGCCACGGGTCCGACACCTCAAATTCTGGAGGCGCGAAATGAAAACGGGGCCGCCGAACGAATTTATCCACGGGGGGCCCAGCGTTTGACGTTTCAGCCTCTCGTTTTTTTCTTGTGGCGATGACTTTCCGACTGCAAGGCTGTGGCCCTGTACTTGTGGTTTAAACCCTTAACCCTAACCTTGAACCACAGCCACCCCTCCTCAATCCACCCATACCAACTCCGATGTACCAGCAAAAAAAAAAAAAAAAAAAAAAGATCTACCAGACTCAAGGGCGAGGGGGGGAATGGGATGGGTCAGGTGGTGAAATGAAGGCTAATATTCCATCATGCGAAGTGGTTGTAACCACTTTTTCTCTTTTGGATTCTTAAGCAATGAACAAGACATCACCATCATACAGCATAATCAACTTCATCATCAGCAGCAACATCGGGGTCATCATCATCAAGCTTTTGTTTTCTTTCCCTCCCATCAGTGGGACCGATTCCTCCAATTTGTTTTCGCAGAGTTCTGCAAATCCTAGTGAGTGAGGATGAAAACACAAGGATGGCTCAGCTTAGGGGTCTCACCGATGTAGTGGATGATGCAAACCCTTTTGTTGGATGAAGAATATGAGTGTCAAATACCTGGACACGAGACACCAAGATTACAGGCATAATTTAACTGTTAATAACAACGATAAAGTTAATAACAATAAAACGTAATAATAGTAAAATAACTATAACAAAACAATAATAGTAATAATTTACTAATAACAATAATACAAAAAAAAAGAAAGGGAGACAAAGGACTAGAAGAAGAAGAAGAAGAAGAAGAAGAAGAAGAAGAAGAAGAAGAAGAAGACAAAACAATAATAGTAATAATAATAATACAAAAAAAAGGGAGACGAAGGCGAAGACAAAGGACCAGAAGAAGACGAAGAAGAAGAAGAAGAAAAATAAAAAATAATACTAATAATTATAATACAAAAAAAAAAAGAGACAAAGGACAAGAAGAAGAAGAAGAAGAAGAAGAAGAAGAAGAAGAAGAAGAAGACAAAACAATAATACTATTATAATAGTAATAATAATAATACCAAAAAAAATGGAGATGAAGACGAAGACAAAGGACCAGAAGAAGAAGAAGAAGAAAGAATAATAGTAATAATAATAATACAAAAAACGAAAAGGGAGACGGAGACGAAGACAAAGGACTAGAAGAAGAAGAAGAAGAAGAAGAAGAAGAAGAACCCCAAGCAATAATGATGTTGTAATGATGTGAACGGTGCAAGACTGGAGAGGTCCATTGACTCAACTGAAGGCATACTCACACCGGGACTTTTTCGACTCATCAGTGGATGTAATTGTGATCAGAAACATGCCGTAGGGGACGGACTTGCAGTCAGATACATCGAGGACAGTCCTAGTGCGCTTAGGCCCAGAGAAGCAGAACAAGCTACTGTCAAGATTTACCTCTTTCTAGACTCTCTGCACGGTGACCGACGTTGTAATATCACTAGTCTACTATGTTAAACCACCTGCATGGTGACAAAATTTAATACATTTTGTCATTTTCCTTTTTCTCATTTCGGCTGGCGCTGCCAGCCAAACAGATCCAATAGGCCAAGCCCTGAAAGATGCGTCGGAAGAAAATAGCTGGGAAACGTTCCGGGGTTTAAAAAAAAAAAAACACTACTAGTTGTTTGGGCCGATTTGACCGGCCAGGCCACAGGTGCATGTGGGGACCACATTTTATTTTCACTTACAGCTTACAAGTTCAGATCTGCGACCTCAGGCTGGATTTTCTTTTTTTTCTTTTTTTTATAGGCTGGCTTTTCATACTATCGAGGGAGTGATTTTGAGCACTTCAAAAAGATATGATTATCCAAAGGGGGTTAAGGGTTTATGTTTTCTCGGGAGGCCGATGTATTATCATGTAATCATCATTAGCTTTTTTTTTTTTTTTTTTCCCCTCGAGAAGTATTCGTATGAAGCAGTACTGTGACTCGTGTGAATACTTGTGCGTGTGCGAGGATCAGGGTCCTCAGTAGGCCTTTGGGGCCCTGTCTGCAGCCTTACCCGCCCTAAGTGAAGGTGGAGGTGCCCGGCCTAAGTGAAGGCGGGCCTGGCTTTTTGCAAAAAGGCCTTCGACTGTCAAATTCATATTTGGGATTCAGGCAGTTGCGACGCGCCAGTTGGTTGAGAGAAACACAGGCCGAGCAACAAGGACATTTCCACGGCCTACCGGGCCTTTCCAAAGAATGCAGGCCCTGGCCATGATTCGCAGCCTCATACAGAGACAGTTGGGCGCCCAACCGAACGAGGCCCAGCAGCCCAGTAACTGCTGCATCCAGGCAGCCTCCTGGGGCCTTCCGGAAGCTTCTGGGCCCAGGCCAAGGCAGCCAGGCTGCGTGAGCAGGCCAACTCTTTCCATAAAGGAAAGAGCTCGGCCCTGGCTGCCTCATTCGGTCACTTGCTGGCTGGGCGGCAGCGCTGCTGGAGCAAAAGCTCGCAGGCTGACTGCCGGCAGGGGAGCAAGGGGCAACGCACGTGCGGTCGTGTAGAGGAACAGGGCGCTGCTGAGGGCAGCGCCAGAGCCAGCCTCCATAGCGGGCTTGGCTTGGACACAGAGTGAGGCGCAGGGGTGGTCTTCGGGCGACAGAGAGGACAGGTGTGGGTGAAGTCAGGGGATAGGTGAAGGATGATGATGATGATGATGATGTGAGGGCACGTACCTTGTATTGGCGATGGTCTGCATGGGCGGCATTTTCAAGTACTTCAGGCGGCTGCTGATGTCAACAGTTGCATTGTCTTTTTTGTAGTCTGTAGAAGCTGTGTAGGAGTAGGCTGGGCGCTGAGCGCCAAGTGTGAGTGTAAGGGAACTGGACTCTTGTGTTGAGAGGAGAGAGTGTGCTCTCCACGGGCATTGGTTTTCAGTGCTACGAAACTCCATTGGTGTATTATTGGTGCAATGCTGCTATCTGGACACGGTGTGACTATTTGACTTGCAATGTGATGGCGTGATCTGGGATTGTCATCTCGCTGTTGCTTATTTTCCTTGCACTCGTCACGGGCTACAAAAAAAAAAAGAAAGCTAAGAAGAAGAAGAAGAAGGAGAAGAAGGAAACGAAGAAGAAGAACAACAACAACTTGAAGGCGGTCTTCGTTTTGTTATTTCCAAAAAAAAAGAAACAGAGCTGCATACCGACGGGCCTAGCTCAGTGGGTACACCTACTACACCTATTAACCATTGAAATACAGACACAACTCTGAATCCAGATGCAACAACATGACCCAAAAAAAAAATGAAACCCTAATTCTGGATTACCAACGGCCGGTCAGTTCCATGATGATGATGATATCTCAAGGCTATTGGCCTAAGGTCCTAAGCTTTTTCATAAAAAGGAAGAACCCCAAGAGCCTAGCTCAGTGGGGACCACACCCATGAACTGTTGAAAATTTTGAAATACAGACCCAAGTTCGAACCCAGATGATGGAACTTGGTTGATGAGTAAAACCAATATATATTTCTGAATTGCCTGGGGCTGGTCAGCTCAATGATGATATCTCAAGGCCATCACTTCTTTTTTTTTTTTTTTAACCAGGAAGAATGGGAGCTGCATTTGGGGAAAGTTGGGAAACATAGCCTGAGCCATAAGACTGCTGTTACCAACAAGGGTAGTTTGCAAACTTGCACTGGACTCTGGAGGGCATTTTTGTAACTCCAAGGGTAGGGTACTTCCGCTCAACTCTGTCACAAAGGTACCACGGCACCCAAGTGGGCATAAGAATGTGTGAAACTCAAGCGTCGGACATAAGGGGCTTACATGAAATTGGGACTCGAGAGTTGTTGCTACGAACTTGTTCATCTTGATGTCCTTCCGATCGAACTGCAAACAGCAGACCTGGATCCTCAAAAACATCCATTACAGCCAAACAGAAAGGTAGTGAGTGAGTAGTCCTTCGGGACATCCATTAAAAAAAAGGAAAAAAGGAAAAAACGAAAAAAAATGGAACGACACAGAGAAGATTAGCATGACACCTGCACGAGGATGACATGCAAGGATGGAGAAATGGCCGGAAAAAAAAAAGAAAAAAAGAAGCTAAGTACGTGCATGTCACTTTTGAGAATTGTATATTAATAGGTAAGAAAAAACAAAAACACGCGCCGGCAAAGAAACCAGGCGTGGAGTTTTAAAAAAAAGCAATGAAAGTACCAATGGCCGTGATGTCAGACAGGTGTCATATTTACAGGGGCGAGCCGTGTTATCAGATGGGGGGTGGGGAAAGAAAACAAAAAAAAAAGCCCAACGGATACTTTTCGACCCAAATTGCCGTTTTGAAGTCGGCACCTGTTTTCTTTGCCGGCGCGTGTTTTTTTTGGCCTTTGCGAACTCAAAACCTGCCGCGTCTGCCATTTTTTCAAAAGAAAAAGAGAGATAGTGAGTACACATGCAAGCCTGCACGTGAGAGATAGACGAACAGACGTAAACAGACCGGCAGACTGGCAGACAAACAGGCACACACACACACACACATGGGTGGAATAGGGGCTGTTGTAGCGAAAATTCAAAACACTCACACATGTGTGCGCACACACACACACACACACACACACACACACACACACACACACACACACACACACACACAAACACACACACTCCTGCCCTTCACATGTTTCTTTCCTGCCCTTCACCCTCTCCCCTTCTCCCTCCGGTGGACACGAACAACCTACCATCATGGTGATGTAGTGTGCCAGCTCTGAAAATCATGGAAGCTGGGCCTCTGCCCCCTGTCCTCCTCCCCTTTCTCCCCTCCCTGTTCCCCCTTCTCCCTTTCTCCCCTTCTCCCCTTCTCCCCTTCTCCCCTTCCCCTTTCC